GAGACTTCCAGATCCGGGTGAGCCAACGGCGCCGCGTCCCCCTCCCCCCCGCCCTCCCGGCGGGCGCGTCCCCCACACCGCTGAGCCCGCCGCCCGCCCGTCCCGGCAGCAGGTCCTGGACCTGATCGAGGTGCTGGTGACCAAGCAGCCGGAGAACCCGCTGGTGCTGGAGCTGCTCGAGCCGCTGCTGGAGGTCATCCGGCGGAGCATGCGCACCAGCAGCACCAAGCAGGAGCAGGACCTGCTGCACAAGACGGCCCGCATCTTCACGTGAGCGCGGCCCCCTCCTCCCGGCACTGGGCGCCGGCCCTCCCGCACCCCCGTCCCCCCCACCCCCAGCACTCAGCGCGGGCTCTCCCCCGTCCCCTGCCCCACCACGCTCGGTGTGGGCTTCTTGCCAGACCCACGATTTTGGGAACCGGTGTCTGCTCCCTTGGTTGCCACGCTGAGAAAGCAGACGGAGGGACGGCACAGATGTCCGGGGCGGGGCGGGGCCGGGGGTGGAGGGGAGGCTAGAGCACAGTGTGGGGAGGACCCCGGGGCCTGTCCTGAGGGAGCAGGGGAGCCTTCCCGGGAAAGCCGTCACGTTCCTCAGGCCCGGGGGCCACAGGCAGGGCAGAAAGCGGGTCTCCCGAGGGGGTCTGGTCACACAGAGTAAGGCCCCGAGGCCCGCACCCCAGCAGTGTTGGGGGTCCACAGAGCTGTTCCCGGAGGGGGCTCTGGTGGGGGCTGGTTTGCCTTTAGGAGGGACACTGAGTGCGGACGGGCCAGCCAGGAGCAGGGGCCCAGCAAGAGATGGCGTAGGTGCTGGGTGCAGACCTGCTTTCCGGAGCCCAGGCGTGGCCTACAGACTCGAGGTGCCTACGTCACGGGGGGCGGGGAGCTGGACGGACGGTGCCCCGGGTGACGCCGCCTGGCTGTCCCTGCCACCTGCCCGGGCAGTGTTGAGGTTGTTGAGTGACCCGGCTCTCTTTCCCCGGGAACACAGACCCTGGTGTACAAAGGGCTCAGGGGCCGCTGTCCCGCAGGGGACGGGTGCACACAGCCTGCCAGGGGCGCAGCCTGGCCCGTGAGGGCTGGTTTCTCTGGCTCCTGCTCAGCAGCTGCAGGACCCCATCCTGTTCTGCGCGGAGGGAGAGGAGGTGTGGTAACCACCCCCCCTCCCCCCCAGGCACCACCTGTGCCGCTCCCGGCACTACTGCCACGACGTGGGACGCCTCGTGGGGACCCTGTACGCCCAGGTGGAGCGGCTGGTGCGGCAGGCCAGCCACCAGGCTGACGCCTCCATCTCCCTCTACTACTTCAATGCGGCGCTCTACCTTCTCCGTGTCTTGAAAGGCAACGCAGCCAGCAAGCCCGTCTCTAAGACCCCGAAGAAGGAGAAAGCCAGCTCCAAACCCAGTGGCTCAGAGGTGAGCAGCCCAGCCCAGGAGGGCTTAGCTAACAGCACACACAGGCAGCGGGCCGGGTCCACCTGCCCATTTCACAGATCGGGAGTTGAGGCCACGCCTCCCAGGGGCCCAGCTGTCAGCCTTCTGGAGGCAGCCCGGGCTCTGCCCTGTACTAGGCACCCTCTCCCCAGCATGACACAGGTTCTCTCTCATGTGACCCAGGCTGCTGGCGGCTTGGATTTGAGCCTTGTGACCCCGATCTACTCGTCCGCGCTGACCTCCTTCCTGACCAAGCGCAACAGCCCGCTCACCGTTCCTATGTTCCTCAGCCTGTTTTCCCGGCACCCAGTGAGTATAGGGGTCGGCCCGCCCCGGGGCCCTTGCTCGGCCCAGTCCCCCCCTCGCCACCCTCTCACTGCCTCCGTAGGTGCTCTGTAAGAGTCTGCTGCCCGTTGTGATCCAGCATGTGACGGGCCCAGCACGGCCCCGCCATCAGGTAGGGACTTCCCAGATCCCGGCCCTGGGCCTGCTTTACCCGCCGTGACTCCCCATTGGCTGCCCAGGCCAGGGCAGCCCCACCCCTGCCCCTTTGGGGGGTCAGCCCTGCCCTGCATGGGTACAGGGTCACGGGAAAGGGGACGCCTCGCTTCCACCACTGCCACATCCGTGGCCTGAACCCTCAGGTGCCTCAGTGCACAGTCGATCTTTGTGGCGGGGGCCCTTAGCTGTCCCCAGGCCTCATCGAGTGGGACGGGGCTTGTGAGTCTGGAGGAAGATGGCCCTGAGTCTGGGAGCGGGCCGGGCACTGTCCCAGCTGCCACCTCTGTGCAGCGGGGGGCCCTTGCTGCTCCTGGTGAGAGCCGTGGGGACGGGCAGGTGGGACCCCCAGCAACAGGCCCCCGGAGCTTTGGGCCCGCACACTGAGGCCCCTGTGGCCGTGTCCACCCCCACCTCCCCAGGCTCAGGCCTGCGTGCTGCTCCAGAAGACCCTGCCCACGCGAGAGCTGCGAGTGTGCTTTGAGGACCCTGAGTGGGAGCAGCTGGTCAGCCAGGTCTTGGCGAAGGTCACGGAGGTAAGGGCTGCAGCGGGAGGGGGGCACTGCCATGTTCCCATCCAGGGTGTTTCTCCGGGCCCTGAGCCTGGGGGCTGGCTGTGTCTAGGCTGCCCTCCCCCCAGCCCAGTGACCTCCCCTCCGGTGGGCTCCGGGGTCTGGCAGGCCGCCCTGCAGCGCAGCTCAGCTGGCCGTCTCCTCCCTAGAATCTGCGGTCGCTGGGGGAGGCCCAGACCAAGTCGGAGCAGCAGAAGGAGCTGTCGTCCCTGGGGCTGCTCAACACCCTCTTCAGGACCGTTCACCAGGAGGTGGGCGCGGGAGGGGCGCCCACGGGAGGACGCGAGGAGGGCCCTGGCCGGCAGGTTTCTAGGCCTGGGAAGGTCTGGCATGTGGAGTGAGACACTCATGGGCCCCTAGGAGCTGGTGGGGGGTGTGCTTAGTGAGGATGCTGGTCAGAGCCCACATGCAGCCATTGTGGGGAGGAGGTTCCCGGCCCAGGGCTCGCGGGCCTCGGGCACCAGCGCGAGGACGGTTCTGGGGCCAGTGGGTTTCAGAATTAACCCGTCCACTGAGTGGGGTCAAGGAAGGGGTGGGGCCTTCTGGCTGCGGGAAGGGGATTCTCCTTCCTTCCCAGGTGAGGGAGGGTGTGAGGTACAGGTGGGGGGGTGGGGGGACTAGGGACCCAGAGCCGGGAAGAGGCCCTGTCTCCCGTCCCGGCTGCAGCCACTGTTTCCCTCCCCGTAGAAGCTGACTGTGGACCTGACCTCCGTCCTGGGCGTGCTGCAGAGCAAGCAGCCAAGTCTCCAGCAGAGAGAGCGCGCGGCCGGCTCCAGCCGCCTCTACGACCTCTACTGGCAGGCCATGAAGGCCCTCGGGGTCCAGTACGTGCCGGGAGGGGGGGCGGGGGCGCTCCGGGGCAGCTTCCATCCCTCAGGACCACAGGGGTGGGTCCCTTCTGCCCTGATTTTGCTCGCTTTCTCCCAGGCGCCCCAAGTCAGGGAAGAAGGATGTCAAGGAAGTCCCCGACGTCGCCCAGCAGCCCGTCAGTGCAAAGAGAAAGAAAAAGGGGTTCTTGCCAGAGACCAAGAAGCGTAAGAAACGCAAGTCGGAGGGGCCCGCACCAGAGGAGGGCGCCAAGCCTGCAGCCGCGGGCGAGAAGCAGCCCCCCAGCCGGGGCAAGAGGAAGAGGAACAGGAGGAAGGCCCTGGACCCCGACCCCACCCCCACCCCCGCCCGGACCCCGAAGCCGCAGAAGCAGCAGCGGAAGCTGTCCCCCGTGGAGCCTGCCGGTACGAAGCAGCCTCCAAAGGACCTGCCCGCCAAGGGGGTCTCCGGCAAGTCCCCGCAGTCCGCGCTGCCACGGAAGAAGGCCAGGTTGTCTTTGGCCAGCAGGAGCCCCAGTCTCCTCCAGAGCGCGGCCAAGAGGAAGAAAGCCCAGCTCCGGAAGGCCAGGAAGCCCTGAGCGCCACCCCCTCTCGGCCCCCAGTTCTCGCCCGGACTGACAAGCTGCCCGTGAAGTTCCGGCACCTGGCACTGGGGGGCGCCGGTGGCTGCTGGCGGCGTGCACAGCCCGCGTGCTCCCCAGGCTGCGCTGCTGGGAGAGCCAGCTGCCGAGGTTTAAATAGCTTTATTCCTTCATTTACAAGAGGAATATATTTGGCTTTTCTCTTAAGACTCTGAGATTCACAATCAGCAGCTCTAAAAAATAAAGGAGGAGTTTGGCTTCCGGAAGGAAGAGGAGGCGAACTTGGACCTGGTTCTTGTACAACAAGAAAACATCGCTGGGGCCCCGGTTGAGGCTGGGGTGGGAGGCGGCCAGGCTGGTCGTTGGGGGCTCCCCCCCCGCAGGTGCCCCAGAGCTGGGCGAGGAGCGGGGGCCGCTAGCTTGCACACACTGAAGCCACACCGGCGGGAACGATGGGGCAAAGCGTGGTCTGGGCTGGCGCTGGGGGCCTCCCACCCGCCACCTGGGCTCCAGCCAGGGGGCAGCGTGGGGGGCGGGGTCAGGGCTGGGGAGGTGCACGTGGGGGCCTGTCCCGGAGCCCCGGCCGCTGGGCTGTGGAGTCGGGGGTGGCCCTGGGCCTGCGATGTCAGGTCCCCGTTGGGCGGCCCTCACCGGGGAGACCTCCAGGCCGAGCTCCAGCCCTGGCAGCGGAGCCCACTGTCCTCCGGAGGGACGTGCCCAGCAGCGTCCCTGGCGTCCCCTGGTCAGAGCCTGACGCGCCTCCCTGAGGCCTGGGCCGCCGCTCCTCCGTGCAGTCCAGGGTCTTCGAAGCTGCCGTGTGGGAAGGTCCAGCCGCCCGGCTCCAGGGTCAGGGGAGGGCAGAGGCCTCCCAGGACCACGTAAGGTAGTGACCGGCCGGGCTCCCCCCACAGACTTGCTGGGGGCTGGGACCTCCCTGGGCCCTGCAGCCCAGCCCTGGGGCTGGGCGTCTGTCTGTCCGTGCGGCTCCCCCACACGTAGCTTTCCAGGTCAGTTGAGGACACGGTGTCTCGGAGCCATGACCACTCCGCAGCCCCACACCAGAGAGGGTGGGTGCCCAGCCTTGGGTCACACAGAAAGCTTCGGGTCAGCCCAGCAGGGCCGGGACGCCCTGGGATGCCTCCCAGGTAGGGCGTCAGTGAGGCCTCTTCGCGGTCCCGGAGGCACCTAGAGAGAGAGGCCAGGTCACTGGGGGGGCTCCCTGCTGCTGGAAAATATGGGCCTTTCTGGGGGTGGCGGGGAACGTGGGGGTCAGTGACCCTGGAACCCGCACTGCTGGGAAGTGTGGCCCCTGGGGGCCAGGCCCTTAGGAAGGTCAAAGGTAGGAGTCTCCTGGTGCTCGGGGGATGGAGCAGGGCTTCCTGCCAGTCCTGGCCCGGCCCTGCCCCATCAGTCAACGGGCACCATTTCCAGAGGAAGTGGGCCGTGCCCAGGGAAAGAAGTGCCTCTGGAGAAGCTGCCCCTGCTTCCAGAACGTACCCCAGGGCCCAGCAAGGGCTGCCCGCCCCCCATCCGGCTGCACTCACGGCCTCAGACTTTGAGGGGTGCGGGTGGCATCGCCAGCTGGTTCACCCTGGGGGAGAGACGGGCGGGGGTCAAGGCGGCAGGTCAGCGGCGGCCGGGCCCGGGCACTGCTCTGGCGCATCGCATCTCGGGGGCCGGCTGGCCCGTCGTGCCGGGCAGGGACCTCGTCAGCCCCAGGGGAAGGTGGGAGAGCCCAGGGGTGGGGAGAGGAGAGGCAGGAGTGAAGGAGAGAAGAGAGAGAAGTCAGGGACCTGGAGAAGGACGGGCGGCCCCTGCGCCCCCCCCCCCGGCCCCGCCCACTCACTGCTGCTCGGCCTTGGCGCGGTCGCCCAGGAAGAAGAGGGCCGTGGCCAGGAAGAACATGCCACCCAGGACCACCACGAAGGGGCAGAGCATGAGCGCGTAGCCCAGGCTCAGGAACTCCCAGAGCGGGGAGTCCTTGGTGCTCTGGCGGATCAGGTCGGAGATCTGTGAGGGTGGGGGCGCGTCAGGGGCCGCCTCCCGAAGCCGCCCCCACCCGGCCTCGCCCCTACTCACAAAGCCAATGAGGTAGGGGCTCCCGGCGTCCCCCAGCAGGTGCGAGGTGAAGCTCTGCAGGGCCACGGCCGTGGCCCGTCTCGTGGGGATGACCACGTACTGTGCGAGAGGCAGCCGGTCAGAGGCCACGTCCCCGCGGTCACCGCACCCCCCTGGGCCCTCCCACGCCGGACAGGCCGCTCGAGGTTCTGCACGGGGCTTGTGCTGTGGAGCCCACGCGATGGTCCCGGGAAACCGTCCCCGGGCACACGGGTGACACGTAGGCCTCAGTCTCACGTGCCCACGAGCTGAAGGCCAGGCTGCTTCCTCCCCAGGAAGACCCGGCAAGGCCCAGGCTGGCCAAAGAGGGGGTGAGGCTGGTCCAGTCCCACACAGGGGTGCCCCCAGCCCCCCGGGCCAGGCAGCCCTGCCTCCAGGGAGCGCAGCTCCAAGTGTGCAGAGCCCCCCGCACCCCCCCAGCCCCGGCAGCCACGCCCTCCGGGCCCCTTGTTACAGGGCTGGGGGAAGGGCTGCATCCGATGGGATTGTGTGGCCCCGTTTCCAGCAGTGATTAGTCATGTGGCTGTGACACTTAATAAAATAAAATGGGACACGATTTCCCTGGGCCCCAGACCCTGCCCACAGCTGGGGGCGAGCACAGGGGTCCTGCCCGGCGCCAGCAGCACTGGACACAGACGCCCCTTCCTTCCCCTCGCCCGGCTCCATGCTGCACCAGGGGGCTGAGCCCGACCCCGTGGCCCCCGGCCCACTGAAGGAGGCAAGCAAGGCAGACTTCCTGGAGGAGACCTGGCAGGGCCCCAGCGCCAGGCAGACTCTGATCTCCTGGGCTGTCTCATAGGGTGGCCCCGAACCCCACGTGACCCCCAGGAGGCCTGCCCCGGCGGCTCCGGGACTCTCCCGGCCGCAGACCCACATGCCCCTCTCCCACCCCTCCTGGCCCTGACGGGCGATCCCCAGGAACAGCAGAGGTCACCCCACCCCTCAGACACTGCAAGTTATCAGGGCCACACCCCCTCCCGGCTGCGGCTCAGACAGCCCTTTGTCCCCGGCTAGCTGGTCTGGAACCCATTGTTGGCCCCGTGAAGACGGCCTCTGTCCGCCCAGCCCAGCCGCAGGCGCTCAGGCGGGAGCGCCGGGGCCCCGGGCCGGGCCGGGCTGGGCGGGCAGGGCCTGTGGCGCTCAGACCAGGGGAGGAGGCCAGCCTGGCACTACCAGCCTCCCGGCCATGCCCAGCCGGCAGACAGTCCCCTCCCCACCCAGCCCTGTGCCCGGCCCTCCTGCTGGCCTGGCCCCTGCTTTCAGGCCATTAAGCCCGATCCCCTCCCTGCCTCCAGGCCCACCCCCCACAACCCCCCCCCCCACCCGGCCTCCTGTCCCCGGAGCCAGGAGGCCGGGGGTGGCCCAAAGGAACCTTGCCTGCCTCACCATGAGGATGTCCGCGGTGATGGCCCAGTTAGAGAACAGCAGCGTCTCCCCAACAAAGATGCAGATCTGCTCGGGAGAGATCAGAGCAGCCGTCAGGGCCCCCGCAGCTGCCCCAGGCCGCTCCCTGGCCGTGGGCAGGGAGGCCCCTCCCCCAGCTCCCATCCCCCTTGGGGCTTGCGTCTCCTGGCGGGGGGTGACCCTCAGGCTCCGAGGAGTCTGCAGGATCCAGGGGGACCCCAAGCCTGGCCGGTGGCCTGGACGGGCGGGGCAGGGGGCAGGGGGCAGGGGGCGGGCAGTGGACAGGAGCCTCCCCAAGGGGAGGGGGCCTGCAGGCCAGAGCGCACTTCCCAGGCCAGGGGCCACCCACCCCCTGGGCACCCCCGTCACACTCACGTAGGCGCCCACAATGCTGCTCTTGGCGGCCACGAAGATGAGGCAGATGAAGATGGCGGAGCCCAGCATGCCCACCGCACACACCAGTGGGTCAGCCCGCTGCGTCCGCAGGCGGCACCAGCGCGTGGCTCCTGCCCCCGTGACCACACCCAGAAAGCCAGTAAAGCAAGTGATGGCCCCGAAGATGAGGCTGCAGGGACAGACGGCACGGGGTGCAGGTTGGGCGGGGGCGAGGCTGGGCGGGGCGCCCCCACCTCGCCCCCCGCCCGGCCCCACCTGTCCTTGGCCCCGCAGGGTGGGCTGCTGCACGAGTCTGCCGTCTTCTGCACGACCTGGGCCCGGTGCAAGTACAGCGGGATCCACATGCCCAGGGCCCCTGTGGCGAAGGACACGGCCGACGTGGCCAGGGAGGAGAAGACGTAGCTGCGGCTGGGGAGAGGCCAGGGCGGCAGCACTGAGCAGGGGACGCCCACCCCAGGCAGCCCTCCCTCGGGCCCGGGCTGCAGGGATAAGCGCCAGGGGCACCGTGAGCAGCAGGGGTCCTGCGCCCCAGCCCCCATCCCCCACAGGGCCATGCTGCACAGGGGGCCTTGCACCCCCCGAGCCCCCACACCCCCCCGAGCCCTCCTGGCAGCACTCACTTGCGGATCAGGGCCCTCATGTCCCGCAGCCAGGAGGTCCGCACCTTGAGCTGCCCCCCGAGCTGGTCAGCGTGGCCTCTCTTGGTGGCCGGGACCAGGATCAGGATGAGGGTTCCTGTGACCATGCCCACAACGGGGGACACCTGGGAGGGCGAGGGCAGGCAGGTGGCACCCAGGGCCCGGTGGGCGGGCGGGGTCACTGCTGCGGCCGGAGCCCCCTGGGAGGGCCAGGTGGGAGGGGGCGGAAGGAGAGCAAACTGACCACGGGATGAATGGACAGATGGAAAGAGCGATGGACAGGCCCTGGAGTGGGGGCGGGGGGCGGGGGGCGGGGGGCACGAAGCCCCAGCGAACGGATCCGGTGGGTGTGCCCTGTCGGGACAGAGCCGCCCGGGCCTGGGCCCTGTCCGCATGGAGGACGCCAGCCCCTCCTGAGCGGGAGCCCACGGAGGCCCGTCCCCGCCCCCGCCCCCCGCGAGCCCCCCGCGAGCCCCGGCGGGGGGAGTTCCTCTCCGAGTGCCCCATCAAGAAATTCCACGGAGGCTGCTTCCTTCCTGCTTTTGAGGAAAAAACACTTTGTCTTAAGCTTCCGCTGCTCTGCGAGACTGGGGATCTCTGTTTCCTCTGATTGCCCTGTCCTGGGGCCTTGGCAGACTTGCCTGAGTCCCCCCTCGGGACAGGAAGGGGCTCCAGACCCCCGGGGCCCCGCGCACAGGGCTCTTCCCAGCCCTGCCCCCAACACAGCACCAGGCTCCAGCTGGACGCACCTTCGCGGACCTGGGACTTCCTGACACGCGGGAGAGCCCCTCGTCCCATCCAGGGGCCCTGAGGCCGCAGGACCACTGACTGGGTCTGGCTCCCCAGCTCCCCACGTGCCCTGATCTGCGGACCCCAGGCTGGGGTGTCCTTACCCGCAAGGCCCAGCGCCAGTCTCCAGCCGCCTGCTTCACGCTGGAGCCCGTGATGTAGCCCAGGCCGCTGCAGACAAGACAGCGCAGGGGACAGGGTGCTTACCAGTCGGTGGGGCCGCCAGCCGCCCGCCCACCCCGCCTGCCGGCTGCCTCCGCCCGTCGGGGTTGCAGAGCACCAAGCCCAGGGAGAGGGTGTTGGGACGTCCACAGGGACCCTGCCCAGACCCTCACCTGCCCAGCGGGATGGCAAAGTAGAAGACGGACAGCATGAGCGTGCGCGTGTTCTTGGTGAAGAGGTCGCCTATGATGGTGGGCGCGATGGTGGAGTAGCTGGCCTCGCCGATGCCCACCAGCCCCCGCGACAAGACCAGCAGCCAGAAGTGCTGGAGGAGGGGCAGAGAATGGGCCCCTTGCTCCTCTGCCCGACCCCCCCCCCCGTCCCCCCCAGCTCCCGCGGGCCCGGGAGCCGGCGCATAACGTGGAGCCCAAGCCCCGACTCGGCCGCAACGACGCTCCGGGCCCCCAGGACCCTCCGCACAGGCCCGGCACTGGGGTGGCTCTGGCCTCCCGCGGGTTGACGGCTCTAAGTGCGGCCCACAGGGGACACCTCTTCCCCGGGCTCCGGCCCCACCTGGGGAGCTTCGAGTCACCCCACTCCTTGTCCCGCCCGAGGCAGGCAGCGGGGCTGACCCTGGCAGCTCGGAGGACCCCGTGTGCAGGAGGGGTGGGCAGCCCCCCCGCCCCCGCGTCACAGCCAGGAGCCCGGCTGAGCCAGGAAGGGTGGGCCCCTGCCAGCTGCCAGGGTCCTCCCCCTTTGATGTGGACCCGGCCCTCCAGCTGCCCAGGGCCTGAGAACCCAGCCTGGCCATCTTTCCCCGGCCCCACCCTGACCACCCGTCCGGCCAGCCACCACCACCCACACGCTAGCCGGCCCCGGCTCCTCTCCCCTCCCCCCGGCCTGAACCGCCCTCTGCGTCGTCGGCCTGCCCGTGCCCCTCCTCCACCTCGGGGTCCCCCACCTGCTCACCTCACTGCCTCTCCCCGGGGGCTGTCTGCCCACCTTGCCGTTGGGCCGTCTTGTGCGCGTTTGCGTGAGCTTTTCACGCATCGTGTGTATTGATCCCCGGGACACGGGCACACGCACCAGGCACCTCGGCTCCCTCCGCGGGGAGCGTCACCACGCAGACGCTCGGTGTCGCTGAGCGTGATGCGTCAGCCTGGCGATTTCCCTCATCCTGCTCAGACCCCGTCCCGAAATGACGACGACACCCTCCCACGCGCTGTTCGCGAGAGATTCTGGAGGCGAGAGTTCCTCCGCGAGTGGACAGGGCGTCCAGTGGCCCCCACGCCCCCCGGGGACCCCCTCCCCGAGCACGTCCCGCTCCCTCTTCCTGCACGGGCACCGTGCTTCCTGCCCCACACCTCGCCTCTGCCCTCTGCGGGTTTGAAGCCCGCTGGTCCCGCCTAATAAAGATCCGGGCCACACTTGCGCCACGAGGTCTTAACCGGGCATCACCGGACCGCCACGAACGCCCGTGCATGTGCGAGCCGCTGCGTGCCCACGAGCCGGGCTTTCTCCCTCGGGACGCACCTCGAAGTAAGCGGCCGGGCGTGGGACGCGGGCCCCCGGCGTCGTGCAGGATCCTGGCGCTCCCCGCGGAGGCCCCGCCCGCCAGTTCGGTTCACACCGCCAGCGGCAGCGTTAGTAACACTTGGCGACCCCTGCCTTGCTAATTATCGCCCGTCTGATGGGTGTGAGGCGGTGTCTCAGTGTTGTTTCAATTTGCACTTCCCTGATGACTCGGGACCCAGGCCGGGCCCCAGCCCCTCCCGGAACTGCCTGCGCCGCGCGCTGCCCGCGGCCTACGGGGTGGCCCGCTTCCCCGCGCATTTCGAGTTCTCAGTCTTTACAGACTTTGCTTTTGCCTTTATTCTCACCCGTCTGGACCCTGTTTTGAAATAGGCTTTATCTTTCGTCCCGACGGACGGTCCACCCTCCGCAAGCTGCCCGAGGCGCACGTGTCGCCCGACGCTCGGCGCCCGCGGAAAGGGCCGCCAGCCTGCCGCCCTGGCTGAACGGCCGCGCCTGATGACCGACGGGCAGGCCGCCCCCACGCCGCTTCTCACGACGCTCCTGGCTCTTCCCGGACACGGTCTCTGCCAGATCAGCTTCAGAGTCACACTGCCAGGCCCTGCCAGAAACCGCCCGCCCGCCCGTGGCCGCCGCCAGCCTACAGACTTGCGCCAGCCCCCCCCCCCCCCCCCCCCCCCCCCCCCCCCCGCCCCGCCNCCCCCCCCCCCCCCCCCCCCCCCCCCCCCGGCTGCGGCATCGCGGTCCGGCTCGCTGCTCCGTCCCAGACTGGCAGCCCAGGCCAGCTGACCGGGGGCCCGGCAAGGCCCGGGGGGCCCCACAGGCTTCTGGTCCAGGCCCCATTTTCGACCATGGCCGTCAGGCTCACCTGACACTCTGGGCCCGATCCCTCCGTGAGGCAACGCTGTAGCCCCAAACCTGCCTCCAGCCTCTTCCGGGCCGGCGCCGACCTCAGCGGAGGCCCAGACCCTCCAACCTGGCACTTGAAGTTCACTATGACCTGGTGTTTTCCTTTCCAGCAAAACCCTCCTCCTCCTTGGGGGACCCATGGGCACACCCACGTTACTGCCTCGGGGGTCTGCTCCCGCCGCCCAGCCTGTCCACCAAAGGCCTCACCTCCCTGATCCGCCTGCCCAGCTCACATGCCACCTCCTCCAGGAAGCTTTCCCTGACCCCATGGATTTCAAGAGACTGCTCTCTCCTCAGCCAGGGCTCTCGGCACCCTGCACAGCCCCCCAGGACGGGGAGACAGGGTCTTCTCCCTCGTGCCAGAGGCCAAACGCTCCTTGAATACAGACCTTGGTCTTTTCTCCTTCCTCTATTTCCCTCTATAGCAGCCACCATGTGATTGTCCTTCCTCAGCTTGAACACTCCTACTGATGAGAGACTCACTACCTATCAAAGCAACGTATCTCCCTTGTGAATCAGAAAGAATAGAAATGATAACTCATTGAACGCTGCCACGGTCCAGGGTCTGGGCACTGACCAGCTCAGTGATTTCTTACAATAAACCTTCCAGCTGAGAAGCACTATTCCCATTCTACAGATGAAGGAACTGAGGCCAAGGCTGAATGGACAACAGAGCTGGGACATTCACACCCAGAACTGTGGGAGCAGAGTCTGGAACTCCTTGCTTACGAAGCGATGTTCGCTGCCCTCGGACTCTGACCCAGGGAGTCAGCGGGTTGCTGGGCAAAGAGCAAGCTGTGTGGGGCACCCGCCCGGCTGAGTCAGTACGCATGGGACTCTTGACCTTGGGGTCATGCGTTCAAGCCCTGTTTTGGGCATAGAGTTTACTTTAAAAAATAAAGTAAAAGGGGCACTGGGGGGCTCACTGTCGGTTGCACGCCCAGCTCTTGACTTGGCTCAGGTCATGATCCCAGGGTCATGGGATCAAGCACCGTGTCGGGCTCTGAGCTGCGCACGGAGCCTGCTTGGGATTCTCTCTCTCCCCGCCCCTCCCCTGCTCACACTCAAGCTCTAAAAACAAAAGAGGAAACTGTGCAAGGCACAGAGAGGGGCCGTGACTCACCTGGGGTCACACAGCAAGATGCTGGCAGAGCTGGGGCTAGAATCAGGGGCCTTGCCTCCTGGACCAGGCTGGTTCTGCCGTTCCCGGCATGGACCCCAGCTCAGGGGCAGGTCGGAAGGAGGGTGCCACACGAGGCTGCAAGGCCCCAGGCGGGGCTCGCAGGGGGAGGCCCTTCCTCGCAAGGCCAGCTTACAAAGCAGCCTCAAAGCCCCGCTCCCACCGCACTGGGACGACCGCGTCTGCGACTCGAGCAGAGATGGGGGGGAGGGAGCGCAGGGGGGCTGGGGGGGCGGGGGGCGCGGGGCCTCACCTGCTGAGGGATGAAGGAGCTGGAGAAGGTGACCGCCGACCAGAAGAAGATGCCGCAGCTGAGGATGACCTTCCTGTTGAAGCGGTCGCCCAGGTAGCCGAAGATGGGGGCGGCCACCATGAAGCTGCAGATGAACACTGCGGGGAGACGGGGCCGTGACGCGGGGCCGGGCCCACCCCGGGCAGCGCAACCCTGCGACCGCGGCCCGGCCTGTCCGGCGGGTGACCCGTGGAGGGCTCTAGTCCCTGAGGACAGAGGCGCCGAGCGGCTCCTGCGGCAGGAGCTCACCGCCGGCGTCTCGCGTGTCCTTCCACGGCTGCCTCCTCGCGGAAGTGGGGGCGAGACCGGCCCAAGCCCCCCCCCCCCCGGAAGAAGTCCCGTGGGGACCTGACCCCATCTGTCCAACTCCGGAGCCCACGTCCTCACACCTCACCACACTGCTGTCCTTATACTGGGGACGGAGGTTCAGAGAGGGGAAGGGGCCCGGCCAAGGCCACACAGCCAAGCTCGCGCCGCGCCGCCTGCACAGGCCTTCCCGGCGCCTGGAATCCCGGTCATTCGTCCCCTCGCTCATTCATCCATTCAGCAAACGGGCAAAAAGCCCTGCCTTCTCGGGCAGGAGAGAGAAACACGGGGCAGGAGTGTGCCTAGCGCACGTCAAGCACAGAGGCCAGAGCGGCGGCTGCGGCCGAGGACACAGCACGGGGCGATGCGGCCTGGTTTTGCACTAGAACGAGACAGAAGACTCCGTGGGGAGTGACGGGAGGGGCCCTGGGGCCCCAGGTGGTGCCAAGAGGCAGGCCAGGCCTAGGGGTCAGGGAGCGAGGGGCGGGCCCGGGCCTCCCCGGGAAGGCAGTCCCGCAGCTGACGGGCAGATGGCCGGACAAAGGCCGGGGGCGCGCGGACAGGGTGGCCAGGTGGCCGGGCTCTGACCGCCAGGCAGAGGTTGTGCACGGGCTTGGCTTCTCCCTCAGACGCAGGCGGGGAGGGGGGAAGGGTGGACAGACTCCGTGAAGGAGGGAGGGGGCCTGGCCGGAGGGCAGTGACCGTCTCTCTCTCGTCCGACTGAGCAGGACAGTGTGTGGCTGCAGGGAAACTGGGGCCTCGGGCCACAGCGGGGCCACAGCGGGGCCACAGGGGGGCGTGGGCTTGGGCAGCGACACTGCCGGGCTCGGAGCTCTGTTCCTTCCCAGCCGGGTGGCCCTGAGCAGGTCACAACCTCTCTGTTCTCAGGTCACTGGTGTCCTGATAAATGTCCAACAGCTGGCTCTCCAGTAAAGCGGGGCTGGGGTGGGGGCCCTGATGCGTGGTGCCGCGGGCTGTCGCGGCGTGAGCGAGCCCACCGAGGGTGACCGCAGGCTGCGAGGTGTTACCGGCCGGGGCCGGAGGAGTCCACACACCCGTTTCCACCAACACATCAACAGCCTGAATAACCTCGGGGGTGCAGGTGATGGCAACAGGCGGTGAAGGAATCGGGGAAGGAGAATTTTGAGTATTTACGACCTGTGGTTTCAACACAAGATGTTAAATCACCAGTTTACACACTTTAGCTGTTACTAATGGCTTTGCTCAACCACCAGCTCGCACGACGCCGGAGGATTAACAGTCGCCTCTCGCGGGCTGGTGGAGGCCGTGCGCCGAGTGGCAGCTTCCTCATCCGTACGACGCAGGTGAAACTAGCGACTCCCGGTGCCAAGCGCAGCCAGAGATAAGGCGCAAGGTGTGGACACCACGCCCTGCCCGAGCGGACGGCCTCGGGCAACACCGGGCCCTTGCTGAGATCCGTCAACACAGAAATCACTTCCTCGTAACCAGAAAAAGACCTTTTCCTGCCAGGCCTGCCTCGCAGGACCTGCCTGGCACCAGACCGGGGTGCGGGCACAAGGGAGACGTGGGTCCCTCAGGACTCGTGTGTATTAGGGGAGGAGGAAGGACCGTTCCCTCTGAGCCTGTCTGTGCCAAGCGGGGAGTGGGCACAAGGAATCAGAGGGAGAGTGACCCCCGGTGCCGCCGGGGGCAGATCCCATCCAGGGGCTGCCCGGCTTGAAGGGGCTGAAGTGCCGGGAAAGCCCCCAGGAGGGCCAGCGCTCGCCAGGATGGTGAAGAGAGGCTTCACAGAGGCGGTGATGTCAGAGCCGGGCACTGAGGGGTGCGTAGGAGTTTGCCAGCAACGCTAATACTAAAATCCAGAATACACACGAACATAGAAGTTACAAATCTTACGACGATACCGTGCACAGTTAACGAGGCCCCGGTTATATCACCTACGAACACCTTGGGCAGCCCGAGCACGTGCTGGACATGAGCCCGGGCTCCCTCGCTTGTCCCTCACTGTCACCTTCACCCCCCAGGACGGCGCTGGAGGCCGGTTTGTCTCGC